TGGGCCAAATACTGGACTAAGTCAGATTGGGATATCTGGTGGGTTATTTTTCGGACTGGAGGCCTGTGACCAGCGGTGTGCCACAGGGATCGGTGCTGGATCCTCTCTTGTTTGTCATTTATATAAACAATTTAGATGAGTGAATAGAAGGCATCGTTAGTAAGTTTGCAGATGACACCAAGATTGGTGGTCTAGGGGTTATTAGACAAACTGGAGTAAGAATACAAAGCGATCTTGATCAATTGGGTCAATGGGCTGAGGAGCGGCAGACGGAGTTCAATTTGGATAAATGCAACGTATTGCGTTGTGGTAAAACAAACGAGCAGGACTTACCCAACTAAAACTCGGGCCTTGGTTAGTGTTGTAGAACTGCGAGATCTGGGTGTTTAGCTACATAATTCTGAGGTTTGTATCACATTTAGATAGGTTGGTTAAGAAGGCGCTGGGAGTTATGTTGAGGTTGTCCAGGACGTTTGTGAGGGCTCTTCGGGAGTACTGTGTCCAGTTCTAGTCGTCCTGTTACAGGAAGGATATTATTAAGTGCAGAAGGTTCAAAAGAGATTTACAAGGATGTTGCTGGGAATGGAGGGTTTGAGTTCTCAGGAGAGGTCAGATAGGCTGGGACATTTTTCACTTGAGCGTAGGAGGTTGAAGGGTGACCTTGTAGAGGTTTATAAAATCATGGGGAGTTCAGATAAAGTGAATGCGAGGTGTCTTTTTCTGAGGGATTTCAAGACTAGGGGGCATATTTTTTAAGAGAGGGGAAAGACATGAGGAACAGACTTTTACACAGAGAGTTTAAAAGACATTTGGATAAGTACATGAATAAGAAATGTTTGGAGGGATATGGGTGAAGCGTGGGCAGGTGGGACTAGTTTAGTTTGGGATTTTGGTCGGCATGGACTGGTTGGACCGAAGGGTCTGTTTCCGTGCTTTAGAGGGGGTGGCATAGGACTGGGAGGATCCAGGGAAGAGGAATTAAGGGCTGGGAAGACTGGGAGAGAGGAGGTTGGGGCAGTGGTGTGTTTGTGGATTGGGGTCTGGGAGGACTCGGAGGGTTTAGGGGTGTGGGAGTTAGTGCCCCAGATAACCTGGTGCTGAGGGGGCTTGGAGCGTTGGAGGACACTGGGGCGATTGGAGTCTGGGAGGACCCTCTGCATTGCTGAGAGAATGAGGGTGAGGAGGCTGTGAGGGCAGCAGTAATATTGTACAGCAGGATTAGAAGGGCTGGGGGAGGGGGGAGATCAGGAACAGGGAGGATGTGGAGCTGGATCAGATGGATCTGGAGGGACAGGGAGGGAGAGGGTAACCGGACAGGGAGGTGGACAATCTGAACAGGAGGACCAGGGAGACAGGGGAGTCTGGGCGATAGAAAGCTGTAAGAGCCATGTCAGCACGGGTTTTGGGGGTGGGTGGGCATGCGTCTGAGTGACAGAGTGGGATCGAGCTGCTCAGCAGCCTTTGACACTCTCTCTTCTAATTGAATCGCAGGCCAGAATAAAGAAAATCATGCAGACCGATGAAGAGATCGGGAAGGTTGCTGCTGCCGTTCCTGTGATCATCTGTATCCTTCGAGCCCTGAATCCCAGCCTTGCGCTTCAGAAAGGGGAAGGGAGCTAGTGCTGTGTTCCCATGGTTCGAGGGGGTAGCGTGGGTTTTTGAGTCCCAGGTGCTGACTCCCTTAGTCTGGTTGTGCAGCAAGAGGGAACGGGGTCAGACCGAGAGCTGCGTCTTTTTGGGATTTTAGGAAACACATCGACGCATTTAAAGTAGGCGCTGTCTCGCCAGCTGCAATTGACACTCGATCCCTTGTTCGCTTGCAGCAAGAGATGAAAAGATTTGCACTCGCCGATAGCATAAAGGAGTTTGTGGGAAAACATCAGTCACACTGATGGGCAGAACAGAAAATAGTGTGTACGCCTGAATGTTTGATTGGCAGGAGGTGACAAGTGGAATCCCCCCGGGTGGGGGGGGGTCTGCGCTGGAGTCTCAGCTTTTTACACCTCGGGCAGCACGGTGGCTCAGTGGTTAGCGCTGCTGCCTGTCTGTGCTGGGCACGATTCCACCTTCTGTGTGGACGTTCTCCCCGTGTCTGCGTGCGTTTCCTCCTAGGGAGACGTCCCTTTCGGCCCAACTCGTCCGTGCCGACCAGATATCCGAAACTAATCTAGTCCCATTTGGCCCACATCCCTTCCTATTCATGTACCCATCCAGATGCCTTTTAAATGTTGTAATTGTACCAGCCTCCACCACTTCCTCTGGCAGCTTGTTCCACACATGCATCACCCTCTGCGTGAACAAGTTGTCCCTTAGGCCCCATTGAAATCTTTCCTCCCCCCTGACCTCACCTTAAACCTATGCCCTCTTGTTATGGGAGATAGTAGGAACTGCACATGCTGGAGAATCCGAGACAACAAGGTGCAGGGCTGGATGAACACAGCAGGCCAAGCAGCATCATAGGAGCAGAAAGGCTGACATTTCGGGCCTAGACCCCTCTTGTTATGGACTCCTTTGTCCTGGGGAAAAGATCTTGACATCCGGCATAGTCTTTACATGGTGGATGTGGAAAGATGTTTTTCTCATGTGGCTCAGTCCAGAAGGTCGGTGCTGGAGACAACAATGTTTTAGAATGAGAGGTTGTTCTTCCAGGATATTCTAGGAATACTGTGTCCAGTTCTGGTCGCCCAGTCACATGAAGGATATTATTAAGCTGGACAGGGTTCAGCAGAGATTTACCAGGATGTTACCGGGTACAGAAGGTTTGAGATATAAAGTCGGGCTGGGACTGTTTGTTTTCCACTGTACCGTAGGAGGTTGAGGGGCGACCTAGTAGAAGTTTAAAAAATCGCGAAGGATAGGGTATGTGGGAGGTGTCTTTTCCCTAGGGTGGGGGGATTTCGAGACTAGGGGGAACATTTTTTAAGATGAGAGGGGAGAGATTTTAAAAAAAGATATGAGGGGCAAATTTTTTACACAGAAAATGGTTCACATGTAGAATGCCCTTCCAGAGGAAGTGGTGGATGTGGGTACAGTTATAACGTTTAAAAGACATTTGGATAAGTACATGAACAGGGATATGGGACAGGAGCAGGCAGGTGGGACTAGCTTAGTTTGGGATTGGTTGGACTGGTTGGGCCGAAGGGTCTGCTTCCGTGCTGTATGGCTCCATGACTGTATGGCAGGGAGAAGGAAGCTATTCTTCTATAAGCAATGGGAATTGTCTGTCTCAGAATGCAATGAAAGTGGGGCTCGTTGACTGTGTTAAGGCGGACGTAGACTGAATCCCTTGCCAGACAAGCGTCTAAGGGAACCGAGGTCAGACGGCAGTGTGGAACTCGGAACGTGGTCTGATCAGTCAGGCCCTGTGCCACCCTGGTGAAGTGAGCTGGTCGCCATCGGTGCTGGCTCACTTTGTGAGTGGGATCCTCGCGGTTGAGGTTGGGGGTGTGTGTGTGAGAGAGCCCGTACCCCAGTGACGTCTGTGCATGTGTGTGAGAGAGCCCATACCCCAGTGACAGTCTGTGCGTGTGTGT